GAGGAAGAAAGTTTCAGAATTTTCTTGGATCACAGATTTGGAAAATATTTATATTTTTTTTCAGAATCTTCTTGAATCACAGATTTGGAAAATATTTATATTTTTTTTCAAAATTTTCAGAATCTTTTTGGATCACAGATTTGGAAAATATTTATATTTTTTTTCAAAATCGGCATTCGAAAAAAAGAAACGCGTACACGATTATATTTTTCCAGGCACACATTGAGGAATATTCACGAAGTTTTGTAGAAGAAGACAGTTAAGAATTTTAAGATCTTCTTGAATCACAAATTTGAAAAATATTTATACTTTTTTTCAAAATCGGTATTCGAAAGGGAAAAAAGAAACATTATATTTTTACACGATTATATTTTTCCAGACTGAGGATATCCACGAAATCTGAGAAGAGTTTCATGATCTTCTTGAATCATAGATTTGGAAAATATTTATATCTTTTCTCAAAATTAGCATTCGAATGGAAAAAAAGAAATATTTTTAGCATATATTGAGGAATATCCACGAAGAAAGAGAAAATTTGGAGAAAATTTCAGGATCTTCTCCGGCAGATTTTGAAAATATTGATATTTTTTCTTTAAAATCGGTATTCGAAAGGGAAAAAGATGGGCGAATTTTCTCGGAGAGGGACAATCAATCGTAGATAGAATTTGGAAATTTTCTTTGGAAGAGAATCAGAGAATTAGTGAGGATTGAAAGATCGAGTGGAAAGCCGGATCGGATTACTTGGAAGAAGAAAATCAACGAGGAGTGAAACGATCGACGAAAATCGGGAATGGTTCGTTAATCCATCTACCCGTAATTGAGAATGAAAAATTCACGACGGAGCGTATATATCTTACGAAGAAGGGCAACTCCATCGATCAACATCGGCCGGATAAAAAGGATAACCCTCTGTAACTGTCGTAGCGATCGACGAGAGAGAGAGAGCGAGCGAAACCGAGAGCGAGAGCGAGACCAAGACCGAGACCGAGAACGAGAGCGAGAGAAAGAGAGACCGAGACCGAGACCGAGAGAGAGACCGAGACCGAGACCGAGACCGAGAGCAAGAGCGAGACCGAGACCGAGACCGAGAGCGAGAGAGAGACCGAGAGCGAGAGAGAGAGCGAGAGCGAGAGGAAAAAAAAGGCGGGAAATTTGACAAACGATAACGCGATAAAGCGAGAGCAAATTCGTGGAGGAATTGATCGATCGATTGCGAAGCTCGATACGATTCTTCACCTCGAACGTGATGAGTCGAATCTCGAAATTCTCTCGCGCGAGTGCAATGCTAATTTCCCCTTTCCTTCCCTCCTTTCCTTCTATCCAAAACGCCCTCGAGATCTTGAGAAATTTCCTCGACGTTTCAAATTTCGCGGGCCCTTTATTCCCCTAACTTAAAAAGCCTCGCCAATTTTTGAGGAGAATCCATCAAGTTGCACAGATCCGCGAAAATTCGGATTCGAGGATGATGTAACGCGATCCGAGCAGTTTTTCTTTCCTTTTCTTTTCTTCTCTTCTCGAAATCGAATCAACGAAGGAAAAAAAATCGTTCGTCGCACGACATCGAACATTTAATTTCGATTATTATTATTATTATATCTTCGCCCCATTTCCGTCCAATCGAATCCATTTTCCTCCACGATTTATCACGATTATTTTCCCCCGTACATGTTTTAATACGCGATTTTCCCCATCCAATTCCCAATTTACGACAACCGCAACTTTCATTAACGAACACGTGACCAGCCGTTTAATCGAATTTATTATTGCATTATAATACACGTTAAAATTAATTGTAACCCGTGCTGCGTTCGTATAAATGAACAGATTATCCGTAGTAAGATTACTCGCGTAAATGATCTCGTAACCTATTAACCTATTGCGTTATTCAAACTTCTCTCTCTCTCTCTCTTTCTCTCTCTCTCTCTTTACGCTACATAATATTTTATCGAGACCCTCTTATTAGATCCTTTTTGTAAATGAATTAAAGAGTTGAAACTAGGTGAAAAAAAAATTAAAGAATGCAAAGGGTTAAAGCGAGATTTTTTTACAAAAAAAAAAATAATTACGCGAAATTAATCGATAATGTTAAGTCGTTGATTACGTGAAAAACGCAGCTTGATTCAATTAATCGATTAATTATCCACAGGTTTCGATGAAGAGTTATAAAGATGGAGGACGTCGTTGATTCCCCCTTAAGAGCGAAATAAATTATCCGATTAAATTACATTCTGATAAATGATAAAAGATGAATCTGATATTAAATATAAAATAAGAAAATATCTATCTGAATCTCTCTTGGCAATTCTTTCTTCCGTTATCGATCATTTAAGGTGGAAGAAATAAATATAGCAAAGGAAAATTCGCATAATCGGCCGATTTTATAAAACCAAACGAAGGAGAAATAAAATAATATCGACAATACGAATTCGATCGAATAAGTAAAGGAAAAAGTAAAGGACTCGCGTTAATTCGTGCGATTTACGATTCCTCTTACGCCACACTCGCTCTAATTAAGAAGCCTTGAAAAAAACAAGATGCTTGTGATGAAAGAAAAAGAAGAAAAAAAAAAAATACGCAGCATTTTTAAAACGTGATCCGTCGCAGTTGAAATATTTTAATTGAAGCTGTTCACCTCTCCTTTTCTTTCACCCTCCCTCTCTCTCTCTCTCTCTTTCGCGCATCTCTTTGAATCATACTGGCTATTACCGTGCAAGCATCGCAAGAATAAAGAATAAATTTATTTCAGACAGAGA